TCCTGAAACACAGTTCATCAGCACTTTGGCAGTGCCTTCTGTCCACATAGATGGATGGGCCATGCGGAAATCCACTACATGTGAAGGAAAATATGGAATGCAGTGCTAATGGCTTTTGGATCCTTGCTGTTGACAGTGGAGGCTTAGAAAAGCATGTGAGGGAAGTAAAATTCAAGTATAGTAAACTATCCTTGATCATTTTTTTATAATGTTAAATGAAGTGTCTATGCAAGGCTGGCATTTCTTGATTAAAGATGTGAGAGTGTCTGTCTTGATGAAACGTGTAATACCTGAATATGTTAAAGTGTAATGTATTTTTGTTTTTGAAAAAGCCTAATGTCAGCAGCAGGAGAAAATCAAATAGGATTAAAGCCATGACGTTATTGCATGCATTGGTTAGATCATTAGTGCAGGACTTGCTTCCAGGGAAGTGGGGGAAATGCTGAAGAGAAGTAGGAAGTGTATTGTGAAATAGAGGTCTTGTAAACCTGTCTTTTTTACTAAACATTTGAGAGGACTGGACTGACTCATTTGTCCAAGGTGCAGGTACTTAATGACCAGTTCTTCTTAGTGTAAGTTCTCCTTTTCATCTGAATTTAGCTGCTGATAAGTTATGAAATCCATTAGTTGAAAAGGAAACCTAGACAAATTTAAGTGTAAGGTGTAATTCTAAATGATACAGCAGTTTTAGAACACCTTACCTATAAATGTCATAGATTTTCCCATTATGTGAAGTTTAAGATCAAGATGAGGTTGTTTTTCTATATATTTTTGCAAGTTTAACCAGAGTTGCAAATTCAGTGCAGAAATTGTTGGCTTCTTTCATTGTTTAACACCTTACCTATGAATGTCATAGATTTTTCCATTATCTGAAGTTTAAGATCAAGATGAGGTTGTTTTTCTATATATTTTTGCAAGTTTAACCAGAGTTGCAAATTCAGTGCAGAAATTGTTGGCTTCATTGTTCATAATACACAAAGCTGGAGTAGAACGCCTGTTTTTTTTCTCCAACAGTCTAAATTATCAACTGCTGCTATTCTGATGTTTGATTTGTAGGGTTAAAAGTGTGGTCGGATCCATTTGGAAGAAAATAATTGGCAGCTGGATGTATTGCAAAACTGAAGATGGACGTCTTCAGCTGCTTCTTTCACTGAAGTGTGTCTTTAGGTGTCACTGGAGCAGAATTCTGAATATGCTGTGGGCACATGAGGAGCAACAAAGGCAACTGGTTGGAATCCCAAGAGATAAAAACATGCTAGTTTTGAGAGAGAATGCTGGTGCATAGCTCACAGACTGTTAGAAAGCTAAATGATTACTGAGTGTAGAAATTAAATATTTATTTCCTTGAGAAAAGGAAAGAGGATTTTTTTTCTAATCTGTACTCTTGTAAATTATGGATAGAATAAATCATGCAGACTGCTGCAATTTCCTCCTTAGTTTGAAAGTTACACCATGGTGAGTGTAAAATTGTACATTAAAAAATTTAAACCAATTTGTACTTTTTTTCATTGTTTTGCAAGTGTGTGTGGAAGGTACCTTGGCTGCCTGCCAGGTGTCCCCCTGGCTGTTCTTACTCCTGCTCCTCCACTGGACAAGGGGAGTAAATAGAGTGACAGAGCTCGTGGGTCTGGATAAACACAAGATTTCTTACCAGTTACTTTTGCAGGCAAAACAGACTCAACTTGGAGAAAATTAATGTAGTTAAGTAAGTAGAATAATGACACACAACATTTTAAAGATCATTGCAGGATGCTGTATGCTTTGAAAAATGTATGGGCAGAGTGTTATTCCTAACGTTAGCAGATGTTTGTCGTCTTTTTGGATGTCACACACTTCTGTTGGGACAACAGATGAAAGATTCCATCTTTACAGTGTTACTTTCCAAACTGCTATTCTGCTACTTGCTATTCTATTTCTACCTGTCTTTGTCATTACTCTCCCATTCAGACACACCTCTCCTCCCATGAATTAGTTTTTATTTAGTCTTCTTTTATCACTCTAAGCATTAGAATATTTTCTGTTTGCTTGTTGGGAAAATGTGGCCATGTTTGATTCCTTTGTGTTCTCAGGTCATTTTGCGTGATGGTTGGAGCCAGAGTGAGTGTACCCGTTCAGTGTAGGGATCATAGATGGGTTTGGGTTGGAAGGCACCTTAAAGCTCATCTAGTTCTGATGCCTTGAGAGGCTACCTGGAACAGGGGCTAGACAGTGTCAAAAGAATAAAGTGGGTATTAATTAAAAGGTCTTCAAAGCACAGTCAAGAGCCCAGCCATGGCTCTACCCAAGGTGGATACCTGGTCTGAGTTTTCACACTTTTGTAAGTTTTGGTCAATTTACATGTTTGGGTTAATTGTCCAATTATAGCTTTGGGTTATGAAGTCCCATCCTCCCAGATTGCTCTCCTCAGTTCACTGTTTATACTTTTTGGGCCCAAAGTTGCAATGGTGTGCTTGGTTCTCAGGCTGGAAAAGGATTGTTTTGTCTGACTAAACTGTGAAGAGAACTTGCTAACACTTTATATGAAGTTCAGAGTTACACTAAGGCAGTACAGAGTGGAAAATATGAAAGCTAAAACTTAGGGTATCAGTTCCAGCCCTGCTGCCATGAGCTGGGACACCTTCTGCTAGACCAGGCTGCTCAGGGCCCCATCCAGCTTGGCTTAGAATACTTCCAGGCATCCACAGCTTCTTAGAGCTACCTGTTCCAGTGCCTCACCACCCTCACAGTGGGGAACTTCTTCCTCATATTTCATCTAAACCCACCCTCTTTCAGTCTGAAGTTTCATTATATCCAACAGTGCAACATTGTCACAAAGCTAATTCAGTGTTTGCTGTGAAAAGAAGAATAGAGCTGAAAAAGAGGTTTTTATAATTTAAACCTTTCTTCAGTGAGACTGCAGAAATGAGGGATCCTTGGTTTTTTGTTTTCTTGAACAAAACGTTCATGTATCAGACCATTTCAGCAGAGTTCTTTCATCTAAAATACCTCCTCAGTGAAAATAAAACATTGCTGAAATGCAGATTATCTATAACTGCCAAGCTGCAAACCAAAGATTTTTCAGAGAATGTGGGAATTTTCCATTATGCAGCTTCTGTCAGTTGGTGACACACATGCTTCAAAGTTATACATCATGGTAGTATCAGTATAAATGATGTGACAGAGAACATGAAATTACTTAGTTTGGGGTTAAGAGATAAGACAATCTCTGCTACTCATTTACTTTGTGAAGTTGAGCAATTTGCTGAGTCTGGATCTTGCCTAGAAAAATGCTAGATGGTTTCTAGTGGCTGCTAGTGGCAGGTGCTGAGCATTTTGCCTTCATATTACTTCAATGTTGCAAAACATGAGTACCTCAGTTAACCTCAATAACTCAGTTATTTGGCATTTATAGAACTATACATGTCTGTTGGTCATGATCATGAATTCCTTCTGGTGCAGAAAAGCTCAATAAGTTTTGTAATTGCCAATTTGTTCAGAATTTACAGCACTTTATATCAGTTGAGTACTACTGAAGTGAATCTAAACTCCAAAAATGGTGTACCTTGGTATTAATGAGCATCATTTCCCACTCATGTTCCACCTAATGAAGTGGGCTGATGGACCATGGCTTTAAAGCATTAGGATAGTGAATATCTTTTTCAGATTTTTGCTGTTCTGTCTGGATAAAACTGTGAAGTCAACAAGGTACGTACTGCAATAATTATCCAGAATTTACACTGAAGTGTTCTGATTGCTCTGGCATGTGCCAGTTGCCTGGAGACTTGCCCAATTCTCATGTGTTAGGTTCTAGTCCTGCAGCTGGCTTTGAGACAATGCTTTGTTCTGCTCATGGATGCTTGGCATAAGCCTCATCTTCCAGGTACCCAGTGACAAGTGAAGTTCAATGTAGTGAACTCTGCTCTCCAGGACTTCCCTTGCTCTAGAAGTAAGAGTTCTTCACTACTTTCATAAACTCCAACTACTATTAATTTGGTGATTGGGACGGAATAGGCCTGCATTCTGCAGAGCAACTAAATTTGCTAGTTTTGATGAAGAAGTTCTGATTGTTTTGATAAAAATGCATTCTTAGATTATTTTTAAAGCAATTATCTCTACCCTGTTACATGAATGCATTTTGCTTATTTATTATAGCTGGATGGTGAACAGCAGTTATACCTTCAGCCCTTGAAGGACTGAAGGAAAGTTAAACAGTGGTTTGACATCCCAAGAGAAACTGGTTGTACTAGGTTTTGGCCCATTGCATGAGGTTTTGGCCCATTGCATGCTGATGTTTTGAAATTATTAAAACTTCTTCCATAAAGAGCAAATCTAGCATTTTGGTCTAAACAGAGCTTAGTTTTGAAGCACTGCAGATTGTTCATGATGCAATGAAGCCCTCAAGTACAAACACTTGAGAAGGAGTAAATATGGCAAAAGATTTGGGCAAATTGCCAGGTTATATACATGTGGGAGAAGGAACAGTCTCAATAAATGAGTATAATATTCAGCAAGAAAAATCCCATGAGATTTTGAAAAAATCAAGCGGGATTATTCTTGCTTAGTATTGTAATTATTTATTGAAATTATTCCAAATGATGAGAGGGGATTTTTTATCTGTGATACTCAAAGCACATCAAATAGTCTCCAGTTATCATGCATTTTACTCTATGTATGCCCTCCTATGAAAAAACAGCCCAGAAGAAGCAGTTCTCGTGTTTTGCTCTTTTCTAAACCAAATTAAAGCATGTGTTTTCCTTTCTTGCAGTCTAGCAATAATTAACTACTCATTTTCTTTGTATTGTGTACATTCCTACTGACCTTCATGTTAACATGCAGATGCAGCAGTAAATGAAAAGCTGTATTGGCTTTTTCTGTGATGCCACACAACCCAAAAAGTATGTTTGCTGGAACAAGTGGAAGGAAATTATTCTCCAGCTTCTGAGAAAGTGCTGTGGAATATACACTGTTTCTGTGTGGACAATTTGCAACAGGTGAGAGCAAAACACAAAGTTCAGGTCAAAGTTTAGGTCGGACTGTGATCCGGGGTCTCTTTCTCCATTGTGCAGACTGTGTGGGCCTTGCAGGAAAAATGGTGCAGTGTTTAAGACACTGTCTTGGAAAATAGGACTGTTGTAGTCAGTTCCATATTCCACCACGCTTTTGTCTGGCAGCAGGTAAGTAATTTAGCCTTTGAGCTTCAGTTCCATCTGTAAAATAGCCATAAGTAGTGCTCCCCTTCTTTGCAATTGAAGGTAAATACAGGAGTGTGGGGTTTTTTGATGCTCTAGAGAACATTTCTTTTCTTGTCTGAGAAGTATGCTTCAAGGTTAGGAAAAATTGGTCTGAATTTGTGTGAGAATCAGATATTTTGGTTCCAGAAATTTAAAATGTTTTTGAAGAATCTTTTCCAAAAGAAAATAACAATGAGATTTCCCAGATCTTCATACTGCTGAAATACTATGTTCTGCAAATAGAAATTTTATACTTTGGGAGACAAACAGAAAACTCATCTGTTTTTCACAATACTAATATTTTTGGAAGAACTGCAAATATGAGTGAGTTGAAATTCATGAATGTTTTGCACAGATGTAAAAAAAAGCAGAAGATTGGTTAGCTTTTTTTGGTGGCCCAGCTGCCTCAGCAATTTTTTGAGACTCAGCAATTTTCAATATTTTGAGTTGCTATTTCCCTTATTTTCTGTAACAATGGGTCCTCTCTTCTGACCTTGGCATGCCAAAAAAGCAACTGTAATCCTTCTAAGAGTTACAGGTGCTAAGTGGAGGAGATTGGGGCACAGTGAAGGGAGATGAGAAAGAACTTGAGATAGTGCTGGGAAGAGTGTTCCTCCTGTAGCCCCAGAGGAACACTTGGAAGTGGAGTGGTGGATATGAAGAGGAAACAGTATTCAGTTGAGTGGGAGCATGAGGAACATAGGACATAAATCCATGGGCATATACAGCCATTGTAGGCTCTGCAGCTCGCAGAGCAAATTGGGATATCTCTTGACCTCTTTTCTGTTTCCTCACCAGCAGATTGGAAGTAAACCTTTCTAAAGAAAGTTCCTAGGAAAGATAAAGGTTATCATGAGAAGAGAACATCTGAGGAGGAATTTATATAGCTGTCTTTTGCTCTAGCCTACCTTAAGATGCCAAATATCACAGAATCATTTGTGCTGGAAAGGACCTCATGCTGAAAAGTGTCTTTCAGGCTCCAGGTTGCCGGGAAAGGTGCCTCCTGTCAGCTTCTTTCCATAATTCAGAAGGGTAAGTATCACAGTGCCAGTCAAGGTAGGGGAGGAAGATGTTCCCTTTGTTTTAGAAATTCCTGTGGGAGGAGTTCTCAGCAACCCACAAGTGGATGGCTCAGGTGTGGTCTAGGAATGTATTCTTCCACTCTGAATGAAGAGAAACCACTATGGATATAACCAGAAGCATTTGCTCCCTTACCTATTCTATATTAATTTTTGGGTGCCAGTGATTGTGGCAGGCCACCTCTAGACCCTTAACTCCTACAGACAGGAGGAAGGTTCATACAAGAACTGTAACTTGTGCCATTTATGGATGAACAGTACCATTAGGAGTCCTTTAAAGCCTGTAAAGCAGCTAATCTTAGTATTTTCACTGCTTCTGTCTTCCTCTGGTTCTTACAGTTATCCTGTGAGTGGCTGATGTGGGCTTGCTAGATGTTCCATATAACAAAGAATTTCTTATGTTCAATCCAAATTCCCATGCCCCACCTAAGAACCTTTGGGACATTTCTATTCCTTGCATGTTCTGTGGGTTTTTAAAATGGGTTGTGTGATTTTATGGCCTGTCCTGCCTGCCTGCCTCTCTGTGCTTCTGGATCAAAGCAACAATGCCAGCAACACCACTAAATGAAGGAGCCTGTAAGGAACTGTGTGGATCTGAGGGACACACTCCCATACATGAAGTCTGGCAATCATAGCAGTATGTCTCAGAGTTCCTCCTGGTTGCTTTCAGTTGGCAAGCTTTTGGGTCATTGGAAAAACTTGTTATTCCTTATTGCACTTAGCAGTTAAATTTTGTCCCATAGCTACTATTCCAGCTATTCTTTTGCTCTGACCTTGCCTCTCAAGTTGTTTAATCAGAAAATTTCATTAGTATACTTTGATTTTTGTGCCCAACAGTTATGTTAAATTTTTCCTGGACAGTCTTCTGAGGAATGCCACCAGTAAAATCCATCCAGGCCAATGACTTCCCATTTGTCATTTCCGCTTTTAGCTACTTTCATGCTTCATGCTTGGGTTACAGTTCTTGCAGCTACTAATTGTTTCCCATGTGACATCATTCCAAATGCTTTGCTAAAGTCCAGAGGGAATATATCCCCTGTATTTTTGTCAGGTTGACAAGCTGGTTGTAGTATAAGGTAGTACAAGTAATACTTTCACATGTTCTACTTTGGGACTTTTCTTTATGTCCCCACTTTTCTTTATGTCACAGTTTGCTATGATTCTTGTGTACTTTTCTGGAAAGAAGATCAGGTAGACAGATGTTTTCCAAGGAAGTACCTGGACATTCTCATACTCCATCTATTTGAATGCATTGTGATGCACATAAAATTAACCATTCTCTTAGAAGGACCTAAACAATTGGAGAGTGACCTGCCTCCCCACTTCAGGCAGTAAGAAGAGATGTTTGCTGCTATCAGTTTATTTCAAAAGCTCAGAAGTTAATAATCATCCTGTCTTTTGTCACTGATTACTGACTCATATGAACCAGGCTTGGCTAAAAGAAAATTGCCATAAATAGTGCAAGAGCACAAGGATGGATTTATTTAGTCAGAAAAACCATCACTCATCAGACTTGAAGAAGAGGAAAGGCAGTGATCAAGTCCAATTGACAAAATGTGTTTAAGTGAATTATCACATCTGCATTCACTATCAAAATGATTTAGGGGGGTGCAAAAGTGTTCACACCCAGTTCTGGTTTCCACAGGTCATTGGGTGCCTATTGCTTAGAAAGGCTCTGACAAGGCAGGCATGACTAGATAATGACTGCTTTGAAGAACATAAGAAGTTTCCTTTGCTTCAATTCTTTGGAATCACAGAAGAGACACAGATAAAGGTAAAAATATACTTTTTCAATTGTGCCACCAGTTATAGTTGAGTGATGCTGAGGGCACTTTGTGATTCATTCATGAAGTGTCACATCCTTTGGGAGCTACTTGGATTATGATCTGTATGCCCCGTTGGATCCTAGAAACTCTAAAGATGTCTTTATCCCATTTCATGCCCTATTTACCATCAGTCACTCTGCCCATCCTTTTTCAGGAATATTCCTGTGATGGCATGGTCTAGCTAAAATTCTGATCATCTCAAAGTCTCAGAAGAGCAAAAGATGTTTTGTTTGTGTTATTTCTGTCTTCCAAGATAAAATAAATTGGCATGCAACTTTCTGTTGAAACTACCATGAGTCTTCACAACCAAGTTCTAATTCTAGCCCAAAATCTTTGGAAAGTTTCTCATCTTCTAGATGATTTTTTCTACCTATGTTTCTAGGCAGACATTTCCAGTACCAGAAGTGTCCGTGTTAAGTGGTTGCTGGTAGTACAGAAATGCATAACCTCAAAACCAATTTCATTCCAAAGAGACATTTAGGACTGCCTTCCTTAGGAACATGGCTTTTAGGGCAAATATCTACAGCAGCTAGGAGGCTTCAACCACTTAATTCTTTCAGGATTTAGCAATTTTGTCTCTTGCAGTTTTTGAGATAAATCAAGGAAAAATTGTAGTTCCCTACTTACAGTACAGCAATCTTCTTCACTCTGTCCTGAAATTGATCCTAAGCAGGGCTATCAGATCCCAACTATCTGAAAATAACTTCTAGAATTTTCAGGACTGTGTTCTGGGTAAATAACCCCCTTTGTGTATGAAACACTTATGAAAATGTACCTCTACTGTGTACAAGAGGTATGATAATATTTATGTCTGCATTTTGCTAATTTTACCTGGATGGACATAGCAGTCATACCGTCTGTTCTCTAGTTAGTTAATGTATGGACTATTCTGTTACCATTAAACTTCTCTTCCTGAAACACAGCAGGGGACAGCCCTTAAAATCATCTGCATATTCCAAGTATGTATTCTTTATAGACAGCTTCTTTTGAATATTTCTCTGTTGAATGCTAGCTGTTATGTTGAAAGTCTTCCTCATGATTCTAATGGCTTTACCATCTTGTGTCATTGTAGAAAACATCACAGTGATACTTCATATACAACAAGGAATGCATACACTTACATTTGCAGATTCTGGATATCTGGTGAAATATGTTTAGTACAATAGTTGCTGTATATTGGCTGTTGTAGAAGATGACAGGGAGTTTCTGAAGAGGAATTATGCACAGGAAAGGATATCCTTGCCTCAAACAAAGTGAAAGCATAATTCCACAAATCTTCTCTGAATGTTAGGTATCTGTCCAATGTTTTCCCACTGTGTTTGCATTGCATTGATTGCAAGAGTCATCAAAAATCTTTGCCAGGATTATGTTAATTCTAATTGAACTCCCAATCCCAAATCTGAGGTTTTTCCATTGTTTCTTCACAGATGTGCTGTCTCAAAAGCAGTCGTATCACAAAATCACAGACTCTGCACTGGAAATGACACTTGGAGGTCATGTAATCCAATTCCCTGACAAAGCAGGGCTAACTCCGGAGTTACATCAAGGTGCTAAGGATTATTTGGTGTGAAGGTGTCTCAGATTATGTGCTGTCTTGTAGCTAGTTCCTCAAGCTTAGGTAAGTCAGTACACAAGCTCACTATCTCTGGGAGCACTGCAGAATCAGTACCTACTTGTCTGAAGTGTAGGTGGAACTATCATCATGTGTGTTGGTGCAAAGCTTGTTAGAATATACCAGGGACTATGGTATTGATATCTCTGGACTTAACATGCCTGCCCTGGAGAAAAAAACATTCTTACAGTGATTCAAGGATTCACCTTTGTCCCTTTTCTGTGCATTACTTAGATGACATAATAAACAAGTGCTAGAGTAAGTCTCTGTTCTCTCTTGAGGGCACCAACCCTGGGATCTGCATGCCAGTCCTGGATTCATCTGTCTTGCCACGGGGCTCTGCAGTGTTTTTGAGGAAGTGGAAGTCTCAGTCTTTACCTGAGCAGGGCCTGTTCAATGAACATTCTCATTCAAAGCAAAGAAAATCTAGAAAGCTCTATTTGCTTTTCCCACTGCAGATGAAGGAATGGGCTCCTAGTGAAAACATGGATGGAATAGGCTTTCAAAGAGGTGTTTGAAAAGGGGAAGTGAGGAGCTATTTTTGGGTGAACTGGTCAGCCATACTCCCTTTTGAATCCTCACTGACAGAAAGGCTTTGGCAGTGGGAAGGCAACCATGCAGTGGGCCATGAGTGGTAGTCACATCTCTCTCTCCACCCAGCAAAGCAAGAGCCACAGTCATGTTTGTGCAAACTCACCACCAGAGGAACAGGGGCTGCTCAGCCCAACCCAGTCCAGTCCACAAGACGAAGAGAATCATCCCTCCAGTACACCTCCAGTCCACACCATCTATTGCTCATCAACCTAGTCAGTATTTCTAGTTCTCTACTAACATTTGGAAAGTCTCTACACACAAGGTCTTTCCAAACATTCCTCTCTCATTTCCCTTGGGCTGGAAGTCATTTCAGATGTGCCAGCTGGTACTCAGCCCCTGGGCTGATTCCAGCACCTGTGCCTAGTTTTATGTCAGAGTGAGCTGGCTGAGCCTGTGGGACATTACAGCGTGGCCTGATGCAGGTGGTGCTTGGAAAGGTGCTGCCCGACTTCTGCAAGGAGGTGGAAAGCAACAGTGTCAGAGCAGAGCTGAGCAAAGCAGTGATTTCCAGTGCCTTCTGATGTTTGTTTCTTGGTGAGTGAGTAACATGTTTAAGGTTATTTTTAATGCTTGTGGTAGTAGCAAAAAGTTGCTTTGCGTGTTTCTTTTGTCTTGAATTTTAGTATGTCTGCTGCTAAAGATATAGTTACACCTGCCCTCCAGCAGAACCCCCAAAACAGGGACTATTCAGCTGGATAATTGCCTACTCCCAAGTGTCTAGATGTAGAGTGAAACTTCTCACTTGACATTTTCTGGACTTCTTATTTTCCAGTGAAACAAATTTTCTTTTGATATATAATATGTAGTCCAGTCTCTAGAGAACCCTGTTGTCCTCTTCTTGTGCATTATTCTTATTACTAAACAAAAAAAAAATGAAACAAAACCCCCAAAACAGAGCAGTAACCTAAGTTCACAGCTGAAAAATGAAAAATGTAGACTTTCTTCCCATGAAAAAGTTTAAAGGAGAGACAAACTCTATTTAGTTCTGTAAAGTAACCAAGAAAATTCTCTTAGAGAACAGTGCTATGTTTTCCCCCTCAAAGGTATTGTATGTAACTAACATAATTAATTATGCAATTATTCATAACGAACAAATATGTTTCATTCACCTTATTTTGCAAATAGAAAAAAAGGGTCATCAATCTGTGAAATGCAATGTAAATAAGAATTGAGGATTGTTTCTGAGCACTGAAAATGGGGCAGAGATGGGAAGTTGTGGGATAAGGATTGTCTCATGTACAGTGAAAGAAAGAATAAATGGTTTATTTGCAGTCATTGTTGTAGCTTTCAGTTAGAGCCTGGTTTATATTCAAAGCTCTTGCCAAACATTTGTTTTTGCCAGTTTCAGGATTATTTATCAGCTTGGATTGACAAAATAAGCTTTGGGCCCATGATGTATGTCAGATGTCTAAATTTGGTTTTGCATAGGAAAAGAGTGGGTTTTCCCAGCCTAATAAGCCAGCCCTTGGTCTGTCAAAGGTGCCTGTCATGAGGGAGTAGAGAATTAATGAAGTCTGACTCTTGTCTGTGGAGGTTGTTTTTGAGAGCAGTACTACTCTGTGGCCATTAAAAATAGGCCAGTATCCTTTCAGTGTCTTTCTTCAGCAGGGTTGCCTCTTTCACAGCTGTGTGCTGTGGCTCCTCTTCTAGCAGCTTCCACATGACCAGCTGGTCTCAGGGGATTCTCCCAGCACAACAGCGTTGAACCTCAGGGAGCTAAATGTTGTGCATCCTCTCAGGAGAGAGGAATCCTAAGCTATTGGGAGTTATATTTCTCTGGGTGGATCTTCATGCACATAGAGTCGTGCATGAATTCACAAGCCCAGGCAGAGTTGGCACCTGTTTTCTCAGGTGTAAGTACTGGTCTTTCTTTTACTACTTAGTGTTTTATAGGCTGAAGAATTGAAGTACTCTTAGGTCATGCTACTTTTCCCTTGCAGATGAGGAATTATTGAGGAAGTCAGGTGAGCTTAGATACAGGATTCCCAAAACACCTGCTCTTGAGGAAACCAGCTTGCACTGCAGGCAGTTCTGGGCACTGCCTGTTGTCCTCATCTCTGTGCACTGTCCCAAGTGACACCTTAGCTGTCAGCTGTTTGCTTCCCCTGATGTCTAGTGCAAGTATGCCAAGTGGCTGTGTGCCTGTGAGGAACTCTCAGCAGGCTTGTGATGCTCAGAGAACTCAGAGAACCCTCAGGACCTGTCTTCAGCAGGTTTTCCTTGCGGATACTTCTGGACACCGACAGTATTTCTTTTACCTCAGTCCCTAGATAAATGGGAGGTGAAAAATCATATGCTTCAGCTGAAAAATCTCTTGGCCCTTTTCGTGACCTCTAGGAATGTCATCTAGAAATGCTGGATCCCAGCTTACACAGTAATTGTGAGGTTGTGCAAGCATTTGCACCAAGGCACTGTTCTCCAATTTTTTTGTGTGTTACAGAGTTTGGACTTGAGTGATTTCTGAAATATTTGACCACACCCTTAAGGCAAAACTCATCCTGAAATATACTTCTGGAAGGAGGCTAAGCAAATATTTTGTGATGATCCTCGGAGTAGTGCATGTACTTTATGAAATTTCATGTACAACCCATCATTTGGTTTACCAGCAGGACTAGATCTACTGCCAATGATTTCTTTCCCTGCCTGCTATAGAAATGATATCTTTAAATGTACTCATAATTGCTTTTCAGATTTATCCCGAGTTGAATGAGCCTCACTGGGGATGGCATGTTGTTCCTTCTCCTCCTTTACAGTCTATTCCCTGCCATGGCCAGTTTATTCTTACAGTTTCCTGGGTAACTAGGGTCATAGCTCCTCAAAAGAGAAGGTTGCACCTATACTTCTTGAAGACAATGTTGAGCTCTGCTTGCTGAAGAAGATGGTTCATAGTTCTTTGTTGTGGTGTGACAATAACTCATCTCTGAGCTTTCATGCCTGGGCCTAGATAGACATGAAAAGTCCTCTTTCTGCTTAGAATCTACAAGACCCAGAAGTCCTTTGAGCAGGAGGCTTGTGTGCCTTCAGGAAATATAGTTGCATACTGAGTATCTGCCTAAGCAGGCTGTCAGAGGCTTGCTGGGGTCACATGGAGAGAGGGTGGCTGTGTGTAAGATCTCATGGTGAGTCAGCTTGCAGGTATATTGGGTTGCCTGGTGGGAAGTTTGCTGCCAGGGTATTTGATGGTCTTTCCCTTGGCTGCAGCTTTTCTCTAGGTACATTTGATTGAACCTGCAACCAGCATGGGAGGTCATGGAGCAGAGGGATGCTACAGTACTAGCACAGGCACTGCCCTTGAAGAACATGATGACAGTGAGGCATGTGCTAAAAGAGAAATCCAGCAAGTCTTCCTCCTAGGGTAGTGTAAAAGGTCTCATCAAATCAACCCAAACTTTTATGTTTTCTCTTCAGACATCAGCCTTTTCCTCAAAGGAATAGACCCACTTCAAAAGGATGGATTCACTGCACGCAGAGAAGAAAAATATAAGGTCAACAGGCCTTTAGGAAACCTAACTTGCTATCTATTTGCTAAACAAATGCTTATTTTAAAAATCCATAAGATGGCATGGTAACCTTGTGGTGACCTTACTGAGCTGCAGGATATATGGCTGCTTTGTGACAAGGGTTCTGCAGGCTGTTATCTTATAGCATTAATTTACCTTGGCCTACTTCAGAACAAAAGAAGGCATATTTATTTAATTTTTAAGGTTAACAAACTAGTGTTACTGATCAGACTGCCCTAGTATTTCCTTTGAAAATAATACATTTTTCTCTTTGTTTGTTACTTCTATTTCTGCCATGCTAAATAATTGGCCTCAGGCTCCAGTTCAGTAGAGCACTTCTGTGCTTAGTACCCTCAATAGCACTTATGCATGTGTTTAAATTTAGAATTAATAATCTGAGAATTGACTGAATTGTGGCCTCTGTGGTAATGCTTTTAGTTGCAGTGTAAATCCAAACTTCCCAATGGCCAGTAGATGGGGCAAGTAGGCCTCCTTATAGTTACAGTTAAATTTTGGTTGTTTTTATTTTTTTTTTAATACAAGGTTAAAATGTAGCTGTCGTTGGCTCTCAGTTCAACAATCTGGTTTGAAGGCTCTTTACCTTTGTACTGGAAGGGTAAATTACGAACTTTGACGTAACTGCACTATTTTCCTTACAAACATGTGTCGTAAACAATCGTTCTGTTCCTTGAAATTCTGAGATTTAAAATTATGTTCCTTTCTTTACACAGGGATGAAAACAAATCTTTTGAAGGTTTTGTTGTGCAAAGATATGGAAATGTGTGTTCCCTCCCCAAAACTAGCCAATCGTGAGTTGTTTACAACGCTCATGGGGATGCAAAGGATCCAAGTTTTAGTCCCTGGTAGTCTTCCATGTGCCTGTAGAGTGTACCAATGGCAAGATCACCCTACTTGCCTTTGGGTAATCAATCCTCTCCTGCTAAAGCTGTTGTCACTTTTACACATTTATTGGTGCACCACACTTGTGCAGACTACATGAGTGGCCATGGTTGCTGGCCACATTTGCTCTCTGCCCACACTTGTTTCCTGTTAACAATTCATGTTACGTACTTATCTAAAGAGAGGGTGATCCTCAAGTCAGTCACTGAATCCTGCCTCTTAAAAGGAGTAAGAGCTTTTTCTTGAACACATAGGTACACATAGGAATAGGAAGTCCTCAGTTTCCCTTTAGCCACAATCACATTTCTGTTTGTGTTCATCACATCAGTTCCTTAAGTGTGCTCTGCTCTGTCCCCACTTCTTGGAGCTCAGCTTTGTGGTGTGAGTCCTGGAGCAGGCTGTGTTGTTACAGGCAGTGTGATGCAGGTGCAGGAGCTGTTTCCTGCATTGCACTGAGGCAAACAACTCCTCAGGTGCAGAGCCCAGGGACAATGGAGAGTTTCTGCTTGTCACACAGACCAGATATGGTTTGCCTATTTGAGTGTACCTTGTGGAAGCAGCTCCAACTGTCCAGCCTTGAATAAAAGGTAGTGATATTTCTATTCTGTTTTATTTTAGAGTGGCGTGAGCTGGCTGAGATAGTTCAGTGGCAGGGGTGGGTGAAGAAACCTGTATCTATACTAAACTGGCCAGGCAAATACAGCACATTAAAATAAAAGAAAACAGATTGGCTAAAGATTAAAAAAAAAACCAGTCATCAACCCCCAGCTCTTTTTTCTTGAACTTTTGTAAGCTGAAATGGAAGAATAGATGTGAGCCCACCTTCTCAGATATATAGGGAGACCCTCAGCTGCTGAGCTATAGTTTAGCACAGGGGTCTCTGTGTGCCACCATCTGTCATTATCTGTTTGTGATATCCAAAACTTCTCTGAGTGGGATGGAGCACAGAGGAATTCCTGTCTGGATTAGCATGACTTTCTCCTCTTTCTTGAAGCTGTTACATGGTTAAATCTAAGATGGATAATACTGAATGCAGACGGGGGGGGGGGTTACAAGGCTTAAGCTGGTGTAAACTGAGAGCAGCTCTTTTGCAGACAGTGAAAGTAACCAAACTCTACAGGCGTCTAAACCAGTAAGAGTCTGGCTCACCTGTTCCAAAAGTACATTATACAAAATCTAGGCATTACCTTAACCTGTTTCATATTTTGGAGGAGCAAGGTGTGTTGTCTATTTCAAAGGTTACTCCAGCTTCTCTCTTTTGCAGCTTCAGGATGCCCTCAGACTTCATCTCTAACACTGCCCCCTATGTGGTGAGCAGTATGATTCAGACAGGACTTCTTGCAGCCAAATTCCTACAGCCTGCAGCAGTCCTGCTTTCTGTACTTTCCATTCAGTCCTCTGACAGTCCTCTGACAGCAAAAGTTCCTTTGGCTCCTGCCATATCTACTTTTGCCTTTGAATATTTTTATTGGCTGACTCTGTTTTGAATGAAATGTAAATTCCTCAGTGCTTTTCCAGCCAGTGTTTGTATTTTGTTCATTGTGTATGTCTTGACTGTTCAGCACCCTTTAACTTCCTTGTGGTCTTCCTCTATTTATAATTTTCTTCATATCCTTCCCTGTTCCCAAAGAGATGTTCTCCTCCTAAGATAAGCAGTGTTATGAACTCTCAAAGCCTCTGCTTCCACCCTACTTTGGGCCTTCCCTGAAAAGCTGGTCATTTCTCTCTTAATTTTCTGGTTTGTGATATGGAAAGGACTACTTTAAAAGGAACATATTGCTCCTGGGGTAGGTATAAAACATGGCTCAGACAGCACAGGCACCTCAGGAACATGGATTTTGACACAAATACCTCATGAGGCAGCTGGAAACACCTACAGCATGCGGTATTTTAGAGTAAACCAACTGTTCAGTGACATGCTGGCCTCTGAGGAAAGCTATGCATGCTGTTAGCCAGGGGTATCTCAGGAGGACTGAGAGTCTGTCTGCTATTTGGCTCCTTGCAGACAGCAGCTGTTCCACAAGAAGGTGAAACATGCAATAAATGACTGCATTTACTTGAAGCAAATCGGAGCTCAAACAAAGGCCATGATCCAGCCAAGTATGTTTACTGCTCTGGGAATGCTTTTGTGCTGAAGCAGCATCTTTCACCCAAAATCTCTGAACATTCTGAAAACATTAAGAAGGATAGGCCAATGCCTGTGTTTGCAGATGTATTTGAGCCAGGTTTTGGATGCTGCTGTCCATATAGCCTACAATGAGTTTGGTGCTGCTTGGCCAACCATTTCCTTAGCTGCAAAGATGGTCTCTGCAGCTGGAGCCAAGCTCATGCTGATGCAGTACATTGGTAACAGGACCTGAGCAGGCTACTGTGTGGCTAGCTCAGGTAGGTACACACGAGCTGTGGTCACTTGAGTAGAAAAATACATTTGTCTTATTTTTAGGAGGCAAGAAGATCTTTGACCTGGACTGAAGAAAAAAGATCAGTCCCAAAGATACATTTCTCTTTTCTGCTGCTGCTTTTGAGGGGAGAGAAGTGGGAAAAGTGAGATTGTGTAGATTGTCACTAGAGAGAATAGGTTCAGGCTAGGTTGTGCCATGTCCAACTGCTGAGTGAATGTTCAGATAATGTATGATACAGGAAAATATCCAGTGACCCAGAAGGGAGAGAAGTAGTCTCTTCATGTGTGTGCATATTTTCCTCATGAACCTCATGGATACATCTTTGGATGCTCCTTTGGAGACACAGAGGTCACCTGTTAATCTGCAAGGGCACACAGAAAAGGGCTGTATCTTTAGCCAACAGAGGGTGTTAATGCAAGGATTTCATGTTGTTTTTCTAGAAAAGAACATGCTGCCAAATAAATATCACCTGCTTCTGAGTATGTGCCAGGGGTTTGGCAATGAGTTAAGAGCCAGAAGAACTGCACAGCCCTGAACTATTTCCAGCAGAGCTCTGGAGGCTGATAGCTCCAGAATGATTGGAGGATGACTCTTCCTTGACAGACTATCCCCAGACAACTGGGGTGAGTGGCTCCTCCCTGATGGTCTGGTGTTCCTCTACTCATTTTTCCTTGACTAACAAAAGGGGGCAATCTGAAAATTCTTGGAATAGACAACCAGTTCCTTCCAACTTCCACACATTTTACTGAGAAATTTGCTTGTTCCCTTCTCATTTGCTTAGTTCACTCCTGGTGTTTTTCCCCCCAGATGACTTTGCTAGAACCACAGTGAAATTGAAGGCACTACCCATGTTCTACTCTGAGTCCCTTAACTACAATTGTTTTCAGTCTGTGGAGAGGGTGTTTTTCTCTCTTTCATTCTCTCTGCTCCTTGGCTTCCCACAGTGACAGCCGTATCTGTTTGATTTGAGAGAAGCTTTGCATGTGCTATGAGTGGCTCCTTCTGCTAACAATTTGTCCTCTGGAGCCCGTTGCTGCACAATATAAATAAATTTCACTGTTTAGTACTTTCCCATTTTGTTCCTCTGCTGCTGGCAGTGAGTTGACCTACCCTGTTTTGTTTTTCAGATTTATCTTTCTTTGCCCTTCTTATATGAGACGAAGTCACAATATTAAATTAACAAGGATGCATTATTGATGCATACTTTTTTTGTTGTTGTTTCATGCTGTCCTCAAAGTTCTGTATAAAATGAGAATTAAAATGCAGATTACATTCTGGAATAGTATTCAATTGGGTCTTAGGATGAAAAATAAGACTTTATCCGTCTTCAGAAATTCTAATAGTGTGTCCTGCATAGATACTGTGCACATATAAAAAGCATTTTTCAGTCATTTTACCACATAAACTCGGTGTTTTTATTAACAGTCTTCATTTGGCCCATTCCATGCATGTGTGCTGCTAGAATGACCAGGATGTTTAGCACAGTGCTAAACTTGCTTTGCAGTGGTGAATGCAGGTACTGGAAGTTCTCCAATTGTAGTACTATGCATGCCCCAGCAACCTCCTGCTCAGAATATGGTAAATATTTAGAGTGGCTGAGCCCAATCTGGGCTCTGTGCTGTTTTAACTAGATTGTTCCTGCCTGCTTTAAAGCTGGCTTAGGCATTTATCCACCACACCAGCATCACTGCGGATTACATGTACCCCTAATTGGGTATGATGAAGGCCACAGTCATGTTTTCCATGGTTCCAAGACTTAAGCTTAGAGCGCTTGAGGTTGTTTTTACTGCATGAATGTGACTGCATGTGGATTTTAATACAGAGAAAAACATACTGGGACCAGCTAATAAGTCAGTAAAGTGGTTACATTTGCCTACTTTCTCGGAAATTATCATAATTCCTGTCTTTCTTGGGATGAATAAAAGAAATCTATCAATCTAGACAATATTATTTTTGTCTATTTTTGTATCTTATTATAGCATAAATAGGTTTTGAATAGTATAAATCAAGTGGTTTTTGTTTTCCACTGACTTCTAAGCGAAGAAGGATGTCACCATGCACAGGGTAAAAAAGGTAAAGAGAAGCTAACCCATTACCATTTGCATTTTACAAACCAGATCTTAAAAAAAATACTTGAAGGAGGGGAAATTTGTCACCTTAACATTGCAAATTATGTGAAACCAGTATGTCCTCCCACTACAGCATATGTTTGTGGTGGGTGGGCGGGGGAGATGCAGGGAAGAGGTGATGGTATAAAAATACCTTGTAAAAACAAATGTTTGGCTAGGGGAGAGAGTTTGTCACTTCAGCTAGACTGGAGGGGGGAAACCAGACAGACAGGGGGTGGATGGGGGCGTGGGGGAGGAACTTAAGTCACTTCAGCGAGGTAAATAACTTGACAGTGTCTCAGAAATAGCAGTCAACTAATTAGCCACGAAAGAAGGTAGCCTAGAAAGTTAAGAAGTAAAAGCTATTTAAATGGAAAATTAAGACCTTAGGGGAGTTAAGCATGTGAAAAATACCAAGCAGAAGGGTGACAGGTAGAAATCCTGAGATACAGTGCCCAGTCTTGCTAGCAGCCACTCTTCCTGCACTTTCAAGAACAGAGAAGTAGGATTTTTCTCATTTATCCTTCTAATAGGCATGCTAAGACAAATACAGACCAGGGGCTCTATATGGTAACATAAATGCAGCTTTGTAGTGCACTGCTAGCAGGGCTCTCTCCCTCCACATGCCATATGGAACAGTTTGTACATTCCACACCATCCAGTACCGTGCAAATGCAAGCAGGCACCAACGTGACCACCCACAGTGGCAGCCAGGGTGGAACATGACAGTTGCCTTGCCATGCTCATGGCAGTTCGTGTGCTGTGGTGGGGACTGACATCCCCACATCGTGGGACCTGCAGGATGCAGGAGCCGGCAGGAGGCTCAGCCAGGAGGGACAACGCTCAGTGCCCCTGTGCAGTTCCAGCTGAAAGCAGTAGCTGCCCGAGTCTCCTTCCTATCTGTGATAATTATAGTTTAAATTTGGTTTTAATTAACTTGCCTCAGTGGACAAGCAGATGCCTAGCCCAAGGAAGAGTGGGTGAGACATGAAGAGAGAGCAGGCTGGTGAGGTGCCCTTGCCTCTGCTGATCTGTTACCCACACGTGTCCTGTTTTATGGACAGCTTCAGATGCTGATTTCCTTTCTACTTATTCCCTGTTGCTTTTAATCTAGGGAAGTTTAAAAGTGATTTGAATGGACATCTCCATGAAGAGAAGGTGCTTTGCTAAATCAGATAAAACCTTCTCACCTGCTCCCTCTCTTCTTTCACTTGGAAATATGTCTTTCTCCTGCCTTGTGGGTGACTTCTGGGTCAACCTCCTCCCACATGGTGTGAGACCTGCAGGATATTTTAGCTGAGTAAGTAAGGCTCTGTTGCTGTGAGGGCTTATGCCACCTAACTCTGTGCTGACAGACTGGTGGGGCTTCTGAGTGACAGGCATGGGACTGTTATAAGTGCAGGACAGGTTTTGAGGTTGGCATATGCTGTGGAAGCTCCTTGGTTCTCAATTTGCAGTCAAGGACAGAAGAAGATTCAGCTCTCTTCTCCTTCTCTGACCTAAAACATGTCGCTGAGGTCTGTTCTGCAGGGTGAAACTTTCCACTAGTAGGTGTTCACACAACTATATCTGGCTATTGGCTATATCTGGCTGTCCTCGTATGTTGGTACGCAGTCATTTCATACTTGCATTCCTCTGAAAAACATTGTGTGTTTTCCCCCTTCAACGAATTTCAAAGAAAATACGCCAACAGAACATTGTTAGAGAAATTTTGCATACTTCAGTCAGGAAACTGAAAGCTAGAGTACCTTCTGAGCCCCTGTCTGTGCAGCTGCATTGTTGCTTTGTCCTTCAGGGCTGACTAAGGGTAGCTGTGGGGATTAGTAGTCTCAGTTCCCTGACTTACATGCATGTAATATTAATGAAATATTTTGGTGGAAATCTAGCTTTTACATTTCAGATTTGTTTCGTTGCACCAGTTGGTGGATTAAAACTGCCATCGCAGCAGCTGCCTGAATATCATGTAACACAACATGCCTTGATGCCTTGTCATATTTCAGTGTTTGCTCACAGCATGAACAGTCCCAAGCATTGTGTTGGTTTTTTACGAAGGTCCAGAGTTAGTGAAATAGAGAGGATCTTTTTTTTCCTTCACTTTCTCACAACCCCCCAAGCTCCCATGCCTTTCTGCTATCCATTTCACTGGTTTAGTTTCTGTGCCAGTGCTTGGGGGCGCTTGCACTGTGATAAGCAATGCAGTACAGAAACCTTTGCAGATGCTTCTGCATGTGGCTTCCTGAATATACTGAGGTCTTCCTTCATATGGGAGCAGGTAGCACTGTAATAACTGAAGAGTGGATAGTGTAACAGTCAAAGCTATGAGGTTCACAATTAGTCAAGAACTTTTTTTGCTGGGGATCTTAACACCAAACCCTAAAACTTTTCATGGAAATCTGGTACTTGTGATGCAGCTCTTTGGGGAGTTTCTTATGTGTAGAATGGAATTTTGGATGAAAAGGAGAAAAAGAGAAATATATTATAGGGTGTTCAATAACCTGATCATTAGGTGATCACTGAGATGTACAAGACCAAATTTTAAGTTCTCTGGATGAATAAGAAGAAACAGCAATATCAATTAATCTTTCCAGTACTGTAGATGAGTGTGTTAACTGTTGGGCTTTTGAGGAGGATACATGAGTCTGATTTCTGTGGCTTCTTTGTGTGAAAACTCTCAGTCTTTATCCAAAATTCTAAAATTCATCTTTTTCTTTTTTGCTGGTACTAAAAATTTATGGTTTTGCAAAATGAAAACCTTGTTATCCATCCAGACAGAATAATAGAAGTTGTAGGTGTTTCGTGAACGTGAAGCAAAGAGGAAGAAAATGTGTTAATTTATTGGCTCTCTGTGAGAGGAAAGTCTGGGCTTCATTTAAAAGTCAAATGTAGATATCTTTTTTCTAACTTTGGCTTGTGACAGATCAAGATTTGACATATTCTCATTTTTCCTAGCAAGCTGCTAAGGATTCGGACCAACTTGATGGAAAAATACCTTTGACAGATGACAGCAGGATTTCATGAGGGATTTCTATCTCAAGGCAGCTGCCCCTTCTCCACAGCCAGCAAGTAGCAATAGCATTTTAAAAGAACGATGTCAGAGAGCAGCTTGGTTTTCTCAGTTGTCATCATTATTTGTTTCTCTCCTGGCCAAACCACCAGAAGCAGGTTAAGGATGACACAAGCTAGCAACAAATCACAGGGTGGAGGACAGAGCATGTGACAATGCCCTGGCTGTGGTGCAAACATTTGAGCTACGTTTCGAAAGCCTGGATTTGTGTTCAGCAGAGTTCATGAGTGAAAAATAAAAGTCTCTGACGATAACAATCAACAACCTCAATCTCATTAGTGTCTACTCTTCAGAGAAGAGGCTGGAGTGCATCCCATCAAGCTGTGATTTGGTTCAGTGCACTGGGGAAGGTTCCTAGAAGCATTACCCCAGCTTCTTTACACTGTGCACTGAAGGGGAAAAAAACAACATTTGGCAATTTGTTGTCAATATTTGTATAACTCCTGATGCCACTAAAACTGCATATGTAGGCTTTAAACTAACAAAAACAAAGCCATGGCCAAGCTGGAGAGCTGGATTTGTTTCCATGCACAATTAGGTTTATTTGTTTAGGTCTCATTTTATTTGCTTTCAGATGACTCAGATAGGAGTATTGCAATCCTTTCAAAGTGAAGTAGTGTTCTGTGTATTTTGGGCATTGGGCTAAGCCAAATGTGGAAAGAATTGGCTGCTCAATAGTATTTTCCTATCCAGAGGTTTTTTTCAAACTTTTGAGAGGAACTGAAGGAATGTCCCTTCCATGCCAGGCTTTCCCCCCTTCCTCTTCACAGCGTCTCTCCATATTATTGTTAAAGAGCACAGGAATTTTAAAACACTCCTCTGTTGTGCAACTGTTAGCAACTGCTCTTATTAATTGCTTTACCATTATGCTGCATATTTAAATTCTCATTGGTGTCATCCATAACATGCTGCTGTGGGTGTCTTTTAACCCATTCCAATAGAATGTATCAATGGGGCCTTGCTCAGGATCTCCCATCCTGCTTGGCCAGCTCTGGGTTTGCTGAAAATGATTTCCTGCATACATGAAGGGATATGTACATTTTGGCAAGTAGCCAAGTTTTCTGTTGGGAATTAGTTACTAAGGGCAGATTATTTTCCAGTGGACATGCTGGCACGCTATCAGTGTTAAGAGAATTGTCTTAAATCTCAACACCATGGTATTTCTTTTATCCCCCAGCCCACCAAAAAAAAAAAACCTGGGTTTTTTTGTCTCTTCTGTCTTATATGTGTAGGAGGCAATAGCTTTTAATTAGTGCTTTAGGCACCACTGTATTTTTGGGGGATTTTTTTCCTTTGATTTCTTCTGATAATTTTGTTTCTAGAAATACTACCTCATATGATGTTTAAAATGTAGACAATATGAATAGATCCACATTTATTTCTATTTCCATGAAACATAAAGGATTTCCTGCACTCACCAGAAGTATGCATTTGATTTATAGCCTTCCTTAATGCTCTTCCCACTCACACTCATAAAGGAAATATAGTAACAAAGGCTATTAGACAATCTATTTTAAAGTTTGCCCTGATAAAACCAAACTGGAACTTTATTCAGTCTTAAATGTCAATTCTAAAATTTGGGATGTTTTTCTACTCAAGAACAATAAACGTGGAAAGTGTCTCTGTGGCACAGAGCCGTGGCTCAGCACGCCGCTGGCCTGCTGCTGCACACACACTTCAGGGGCAGATGGGGTTTGCACATCACAGACTCCTCCCTGTGCAATAGCTTGCTCTGAGAGACTGCTTGGCCCCAGGAGGGACTGAACAATGCTTATGATATGGGATTTGTTGGGGGTTTTTGCTTTTTGGAGGCTAGGAACCCAAAATATATCCATGACAAATGACCCCATTGAGGAGGAATGTAAATCTTCAACTACAATAAAGAAGAAAGAAATAATATAAATTTCCAAGCCTGTGTTAAAAAAAACCCAAATACCAGAACAAATAATAAGGTGGACAAACTGGATGGTGCCTAGAGATCTGTCCATATGACACTTTGTTTC